GGCGTAATTTGATCACTGCCTTCAATGTTATCAACGCAATTAACCATTTCGTCATTTACCTCCATTCCTGCAGATAGATTTTCAACATCCTTCCTTCCTGGAGGAAATTCCAGCTGAGTCTGCCCCTCCACTTGAAATGTTTCCTCTATAATTTGTTAATTTTGATCAACCACCTTTAAGTTCTGCTTTTGCTTACCATTCTCCCCTTTTCGGTGATTTGAAGCGTATCTTTGATAACTTTATTTGACGTTTCCGCTTGTTCCTCCTGAACAATCATCTTCTCTTTTCCTTTCTTATTTCTCAAAACTTGGACCCATTGTTTCGGACCTTCCTTATTCACCTTCACTTCATTTTTGCGCCCAGTCTGAGCATTAAGAACTTTTCCAGTCTGAGCAGCCCTGATTCTAGGAATACCACACTCCTCCTTAGAATGTCCAATTCGACTACACTTCACACAATGTTTGGGGAGGTCTTCATACGTAACTGGTTGGATAATTTCCCTCTTACCATGCATTATAAGAATTTTTGATGGGATTTCTTGAAGAAGATTCAATTCCACACACACTTTTGTCGTGGATGGTCTAGAAAAAATAGCCGTAGCTATATCCACCTTGAGGGGTTTGCCAACCATTCCGGCAATAGAAAACAAGGCCCTTTTATCATGTAAATGAAGCGGCAAATCATCCAACGTAATCCACACTGGAACAACCGGAGATTCCACATCCGGCCGAAAATCCGGTGTTCGTCGAGAAATCTTCGTACGAAAACCTCGAATGATCCAAGATTGTCGTAACCAACACCTTTGAAAACCCACTTCCGATCCAAATTTGAGCAAAATATGCCGTTGATCAAGTAAACCTAACGTAAGAGAGCCATTAAATCCAATTTTTTCAAACTCCTGTCTGATAATTGTCATCGATGGCCTCCCTCGAACAAAGGAGCCGACCAGCGTATACTTGTGTTGATCCGCGAGCATTGAGACTTCATCATCTGAAAAACTGACAGCGGGCATACCTCGGTGTCGGAACGGTACTTTAAGTGTTATGTCCTTGTTGGCCGCCAGGACCTCCGCGAACGACCGAGTAGCTGCCCCCGACCCACCGGACGGAGCAGCCCAAGCAGATGTCACGACCATCAGTCTACGACGTCACCAGAGCTTTAGGGTTCTTCACGCAGGGGATTCAGTTGCTCTCTTCCCTCTTAAGATATATATATATATATATATATATATATATATATATATATATATATATATATATATATATATATATATATATATCAAACATTTGTACTTAATTCACTTGTATAAACTAATGGTTATTCTTGTATGTCTTTAACTACTCGGTTACCTGAGAGATGTCGAGCGGTGCGTGGCAATGGATGGAGTTACGGAAGGACCTGGGCTCTGATACCAAACTGTAACGACCGTCCCCAAAATTATCATTACAATACTCAAACATAAAAGAGACTCGATATGAGATTTTATTTCTTTTAGAACAAAATCAAGCCATTAGTCCGATCAACCATAACGAAATGCATCCAAAATAAAACGTCTGTAAAACCATTACACCTGATCAAGATTTAAAAAAAAACATTTAACAACCCTTTGAAGTACCAACGTACTAAAACCACAACATAACTGATAGTCCGATCTTCTCCGTTAACCCATCCAAAACCTTGTCACCGGCTCCATACATTCTCTCAGGCTTCCGTACCTTGTTCATTACCTATACATGAGAATACGAGAAAAGAGAAGTCTCGTAAGCAATAATACTTCGTAAGTCACCATTTCATCCACTAAAAACGTTTAGGGAATCTTAGCTAATCATAAATAGATACCCATGCTGAACACACCACACATGTACTATAATTACACATGATAACAACACATAAGCATTCATGTATCAAACTCCATAACAACCTTATCATTAAGAAAATCCATTAATTTTCCTAGAATCAACCCTAAATCAATCAACCCTGGAAAAATCCCCAACCAAGAACTATAGATACAAATATAGTAGAAATACTTCATGTTAAGTGTAAAACCTTACCTAGTGATGATCCTTGATGAAGAATAGGTTTAATTTGAGCTTGAAATAGTCTAGGTAGGGTTTGGAATGAGTTTATAGAGAGGGAGTCGAGCAGGGCTTCGTTTTGGGGGAAAAGGGAATTTTTCCCGTTTAAATACAACCTGCACCGACCTGGGCAAAAATTGCCCGGACCAGCGCCGGTTTTCCCATGACCGGCGCCGGTTGTGCTGTGTTTTTTATGCCCCAAAGCTTCTGTTTTGGACTGGCACCGGTCCGGATCCAACTGGCGCCGGTTGGAGGCCAATCGGGTGCCGAAAACGTCATTTTTCACCCTAAACCGATCCCTATTGTTACCGCTAACATCCTAGACCCCCGATGACATTTTAAACTATACTTTAAACACTCGAATACTATCTAACATGACACATAACTTGATATATCATTACATTCAAAAATATGAATGATTATTACGGTGTAGTTTCGTTGCTTATCGGATACCGTCGTCTGTCATGTTCAAACATAATACAAGCATGTAAGTTCAAATATCATTATCACAAAGTTCATACTCACATGCTATCCCTACACATCACACATATAGCACTCAAACATAAGTTAAAACATGATCATATCTAACATTAATTAACACATAAGAAGTAGAAAAAGTACGGGCGTTACAGGGGGCTGCCATGGAAACAATGTTCTAAAAGCCGTAAGGCGTGTCGAGGCGGCACGACCAAGCCTTAAGCCTTTGAAGCATAGGCGGACTTAGGCAGGAATTAGGCGTGAAAAGGCATTTTAATTTTTAACCATTTATTTTAATTTTTCTAGAGCTAGTTTTAAATATTTAAACTTATTATTAAATAATTCTATTTTAAACATCATACTTTTCTAGTTTTCAAAAAACAAAGTTCATTCCTAAATGTAACCAATACTATCATTCATTTCTTTTTAGTTGCAACATAGACAATTTTACACTATTCACATATTCTACTTTAACTTTATCTTATTTATTGATGTATGAAAACTATTTGTTAAAAAGGATATTGTAGAATTCGTCTTATTAAAGAAATTTCATACTGTTTTTTAGTCTTTTGTACTAATAGAGAACTAAATATAATGACAGTCAAAGTTGTGAGTTGACAAGCGTGAAAGGGAGAATGTTACAGCTAAATAGAGATAAGGAAGTTCAAATTTACCAATTGCTCAAAAACTAGAATTGGAAAAAGTAGTTGAATGATAAAGTATTAATAAAAAGAAATAATATATAATGCATGATTAAAATAAGGATAGTGAACGAAAATATGACTTCGTGACTTTTTATGGTTGTAGTTACATATTTTTACATTATAGTGAATATAAAAATATACTTATAGTCATTTTGGTCACATTCTTCATACATACAATGTAGATAATGATAACAATATAATATAAAGAGTACTCAGTAATACAATAAGAATACTATAATACTTGTAAAAAAAATAAGAATACTATAATAATACCAATACTTACAACAAGAATAATATTAATATCAATAATAATGCATAGTTCATAGGGAAAAATATTTAAAATATCCCAAACTTTGAAGGTGTGTGATAAACACCCCAAACTTTATATAAAAAATTATTTTAGCACCATGGTCATATATTATTTCTTTAAAAATGTAAATTTATGGTGTTCATTGCATAACTTAAAATAGAAAATTAAAAATGTTGCAATTATATAGAGTAAGTGTACTATTATTTATTTTACAATGGAAGTTTAGAATGTTAATTGTATCTTCATGAATGCTAAATATATTAAATTAACAAATTAACACAAAAAATAGCATTTTGAAAGAAATAATATGATAATGGTGCTAAAATAACTTTTTATATAAAGTTTGGGGTATTTAAATTACATATGCAAGTTTAGGGTGCTTACATCACACCCTTCAAAGTTTGGAGTATTTTAATTATTTTTCACATATGAAAAATACAAATATTAGAAAAATACTACTCCCTCCATCCCGCTAACAATGAGACAAGAGGGAGTGGCACGCAAATCAATAAAAAGTGGTTATGTGGTTGATATTGAATTGATAAAGTAAGAATAAAGTGAGAATGATTTAGAGTCACACAACTTTGCCAAATTTGGTATGAGACAATCTTAGTGGGACGGACCGATAAGGTAAAACGGGACAATCATGGCGGGACGGAGGTAGGGATGGACTCGGGCCGGGTGGCCCGACCCGGAACCGGCCCGGGACCGGCACTGTTCCGGCCCGGCCCGACCCGGTGGCCCGGTCAGTGACCGGTCCGGGTAGGCCCGGCCCGTGGGTTTTCCGGTCCGGGTTCGGGTCACCCAAAACAAGGCCCGACCCGCCCGGGCCCGGGCCCGGTTCGGGCCAATTTTTTTTTTTTTTTTGTTTTTTGAATTTTTTTAACTTTTCGGGTTGGGCTGGGTATTTTGGGCCATTTGGGGTGGTTTGGGGGGGTGGGGGTGGGAGGGGGGTTAATTAGGAAGAGGAAAACAAAAAAAAAATATATAATGGGTTTGGCCCGGCCCGGCCCGGCCCGGACCCGGACCAGACCCGGTGGTTACCCGGGCCGGTCCCGGGTCCACCATTTCTGACCCGCCGGCCCGCCCGGGCCTAGGCCCGACCCGGACCCGGCCCGGACCCGAGTCCAACCCTAGACGGAGGTAATACGTATGAGTTAGAGTTAGAAATACGTTCATTCTTGCGGGACACGATTAAAATTCAAATAGTCGCGAGTTCATGAGAGTTAGATTTACACTTTAGCCTAAGGATGTGCAGATTTTCGTGGTGAAAATGATAATTGGAGTATGACAACTATGTTGCTTCGTCCATTTCATGAATATTCTATGCTCTAAAAGTCTAAATGAACATTTGCGGAGGATTTCATTTCTCCAAATCGTAACTAATCAAATTGCTCCTAAGCACCACCATAATTACGTATTTGTACTGATCAACAACATTTCAACAAATTCTAAAAGAGCTTTTTTGTTTTTTAGAAGAGATTTGTTCATTTTTAGTAGCTTTCCGCCCACATAGCCCATGTAGTTCAAGGATTTTTGTTATTGATTAATTAATCATAATAATATTAAATTTAGGTTTTTCTTTTAATGTAACTCAAACAAGTCAAGGACAACAAAAGTAACAAAACGGCATGGATGGATACTGCTCTAGTAGAAAAACTGTTCATTCTACATCAAAGAAATGGCCATCTAACTAAGGTTGTTTATAAGTTTCACTTTAGTATTCTATTCTTCATTATTTCTTATGATAAGTATTGATATCACTGGAAAAGCAGTCAACTGAAGTCTGAATATACCATTATACATTTATACGTAGTATTTGTCTATTTGATATCCAACCTTACTACCCCTAATTGTGTGCGTGAACTATACATGCCACCTCATTTTAAATGACATCGCATACTCAATCAGCTCTTCATTTGCTAGTGAAACGTCATGTCTATTGACACACAATCTTGATAAGGATTTAAACATCAAGTACATAAAGATTATTCATATAATGTATTCATATATGAGGGTGCAACTAAGCCCTCCCATCCACTGGCTATTCAAGCCCTCTTCCGCTTCCCAGTCTTGAGCTGTTTGAAGATGAATGCAATAACTTCCTTCAAAGTGGCCTTCCTTTCCTCTTTGAAGTTCCACAGCTCAGGGACCACGTACCTTCCGCTGGGGTTGTATTCATTCACCTCTTTCAGGGCTTTGATGACCGCCCCATTAATTTCATCACCCCACTGCTCCTTCAGATCGCACAGCTCTTTGTCTTCTTCATTTAGCTTTTCCTGCAAACACAAAGTATTTACAGAGTATCTACTTATATATATAAATTGTGTGTGTGTGTCAAGTGTGTGTATATATAAATTGTAACATTGCATATCTTAAATCACAAAAAACATGTGCACCATGAATGTAATGAGTAAGAGCAACAAACCTCATAGTTGTCTTCATCTTTTCGGATCATGATGAAAGGATGCCAGTTGGAGTCTTTCACTTTCTCCTGCCATAGAGAGCAAAGTTCAAGGGCCTTCACATCCGCTTCATCACTAGAGAACCTTTGCTTGCAGACGTTTTGGAAGACTTTGGAGTCAATTTCACCCATTCGTTTTATCCCAATATGAGAATGACGTACACTCAGCATATCAGGCAGCGCCTGCAGCAGTGCTTTGCGGGCTTCTTGCAGCTCATCGTTACTCTGCCGTTCCCTCTTCAGGAGAGCACTGTTCATTTCATCCAAATCTTGCATCTCCTCCCTTTTAGATTCCAGCTGCTCATTCATCTCCTTAATTTTTGCCTGCACTGCCGCATCATCCTCCCCGCCCATATGCTTCATCACCTCCAGTTTTCCATTCAGGTCTTCTATTTCCATTTCAAGTTTCTGCTTGGCATCAATGTCCTTCTCCAACTTGAGTATCTTTTGCAGGGCCTCATCCTTCTCCCTCTGCAGATTCAACATACAGCAAAGAAAATACTATACATAAGGCGCCAACCATACTATGCAAAGCAGTATACAATTGGCAAAACATCACATCCTTTATCTTACCAAATACTCTGCAATAATTCACTTGATGTGCATAATATTAGAAGAGGAATTAGGGGGATGAGAATTTAATGTGACCCACACCTTGTGCTCTTCAACAAGCCTTAACACATTTTCATCAGCTTTTTTCTGCTCCTCGGAGGCCATTTCAAGTGAACTGTTTCTTGCATCATTCTGGAAGTACAAAAACAGATAAAGTCATGCATTCTCCTTTATGTCTCCAAAAATGTTGGTAGACTGTAGGTATATTTTACAATCTTCATGCTAATAAAACCAATGAACTTGGGATGAAATTAAAATGCAGTACAAATCTATGGTGCTTTCTATAACAATAACTGCAGTCAAGATAAGATGACTATCAAGCAAAAAGTTTGTGTACATTCTCAATAGGTTCTCACACAAGACAATGTCTACCCACCCTACATAAGGAGGCATAGTAGTGTCAATCATTTTTACCTTTTGCTTCTCCTCTTCAAGTTTTTGCTTTTCACGCTCAGTCAATACTTCACGCTTGTTCAGTTCTCTGCTCCAAGAATCAAGCTGCTTCTTCTTGTTCTCCAATTCCGTATTCAGACTTTCTTGTTCATGCAAGACCCTTTGGACATGCTCCCGTGCAAGACGCTGCATCTTCCTAGACTCTGGAATATAAATATATTTGACCATTATACCGATGAAGGACCAAAGTACACAATTTTATATATTTCAGAAAAGTGCTATTAATAGGAAAGAATGATGTTTCATGAAACCATGCAAGGATGATGGATTAAAAAGCACAACATCCATCAGAAGTCACAAGTCATAACTCCACAAGCAACCCACAAAGTAATAATGTAGTTGAAAGAACACGCACATGTCAAAAAAGGGAATAAAAAGTAAAGAGGACCTTCACAAAAAGCACGATGAAGTATGTCCTTTTCCTCAAGCATTCTACTCAGGGACAAGGTCTTCTCATTGAATCTTGTCTGCAGTTCATCAAGGTTTTTATTCTTCAAATCAATCTCAATTGCTAGATCAGCAACAACTTTGATCTTGTCCATCTTTTCTTCTTGTTCAAGATCAGTGATGGTTTTCAACTGCCCTATCTCGCGGAGGTAATAACCAATTGCCCCATCTGAATGGTAATCATCCTCTCTTGCGAACCAACCGTATATATTTGATCCAGGTGAGCACCTTTGAGCATTCCAGTCTCTCTTACTGCAGCAGTCAGCCACAAATGCCATCTCAAACTCCAATGCATTCTTATAACCGGTCCAATCTCTTTTGAATTTGATAGCAAGTTCGGAAGTGCGAAACTTATCATCACAGAAGATCTTCACCTCCTGAGCCCCATATTTTGAAAACCTCTTTAACCAAAACTCTTCCTCCTCTACTGCATTCTCAGATGCTTTTTCCGGTACATTCACAACAATGCCTATCCAAGGCCAGCAATACAGGTTATTCTGTTCAGAAGCGACATGGACCGGTTGAACTGCTCGTTCTGGTTGTGGTTCAGCCTCATCTGCTAGATCTATCTCCAAGTACTGCGCCAGTGCCAAGTGGTTTGCTTTCTGTATTAACCTTCTGTTTGCAGAACCTTTGCCAACTCCTGTAGCATGCTGAAGAAGATCCTTGTACTTGTAATCTTGTTTCTTCTTCCCCGCGCAAAATGGACATCGAAGGCACCCATTTGGACCTTTTACTTTAAATTTACCTGACCTCAGATCTTCATAAGGTTTCTCCTTGTAGTCATTGATCTCAGACTCACTTAAGTCTGATTCTTCGTCTGAGCTACTCATCTTCTGTCCACCAAAAGCAAGATTTTATTACAGAAACAGCAAAATTCTCCAAAAATAAGACTACATCACAAACTTTATAGGTAAGAAAAATGGTTTTTACATTGGACATCAGAGTAAAAGAAAATCATATGCTAATGTATGAAATGGTAAAGAATAATCTCAGGATGTTGGGCATAAAAGTAATGTAAGCCTTCAAATTCCATTGTTGGAGAGGAAAGATGAGGACATGATGCCTGAAAGGTCACTGATGACACTCTGATACCTAAATTCGATTCCCGGTAGATCTATTGAGATTAAAACAAACATAACAAGCAATCTCTGCACGATTTTCTCCCTTCAATTTCTCCATAGATAAAAATAGGCTCACCTTTAAGAATAAAGAAGTTATACTGGTTTTTTCATGTTTCTAACGGGGATTCTCCTCAGTTAATGACTTCAGCCCTGAAATCAGTAAGTGGAGAATGACCTCAAGGGTGGAAATGGAAGTTGGCCTGAGGGTTGGGCCTCTTCATGGGTTGGGTTTCAATCTTGTTCTGGTCTAGAATTGTCATTAGTTATTCGATATATTTTGAAAATTAGGACATTTATTTCCTAATGTAGAAAAAAAATAAAAAACTCTCTTGCTTCCTTTTTTATTTTCTTTTTCTTTCTTTCTTTTCTTTTTTTCACACTAAAATGTCCATAGTACAAATTTTCCGCATTGTTTTCACACTAAATAAATGTCCTTATTCTCAAAATATATCGAATAACTAATGACAATTCTGGACCAGAACCCAAACTTATTAAAAGCGTAAAAAAGCGTCAAAAAGCGTAAAGCGTGAGCAAGCGATGGGCCTGCGCTTCGCTTCCCATTAGCGCATGGAAACCCAACCCATGAAGAGGCTCAACCCTCACGCCAGCTTCCATTTCCACCCTTTGGGTCATTCTCCACATACTAACTTCAGATCAGAAGTGCATTAGCTGAGGAGAATCCCCGTTAGAAACTAGAAAGAAACCAGTACAGTGTCTTCATTCTTAAAGGCGAACTTATTTTTATCTATGGAGAAATTTAAGGGAGAAAATCGTGCAGAGATTGCTTGTTATGTGTGTTTTAATCTCTATAAATCTACTGGCAATCAAATTTAAGTATCAAAGTGGCATCAGTGGCAGTTCAGGCATCATGTCCTCATCTTTCCTTTCCAACAATGGAATTTGAAAGCTTACATTACTTTCATGGCCAACATCTTGAAGAATAAAGAGGTTTTTTATTTAAATGGGTCCCACCAACCTCTCTTTCCATTGGTTTTGTTTACCCATTTACGCCGCATCAAATTTGTTTTAGAGAAAGTCACCACTTGGTTGGGCGGCTTTCTTTAACTTTGGTTTCAACCAGAGTATTTAGGTAAAAAGTTTTAAGTCAATCCTAATTTGGTAAATTGTTTTTTGTTTAGCATTATTTTAGAAAAATACTCCACTTTTATGCCCAACAACTTGAGATTATTCTTTACCATTTCATACATTAACATTTGATTTTCATTTACTCTGATGTCCAATGTAAAAAACCATTTTGCTGACCTATAAAGTTTGTGATGTAGTCCTATTTTTGGAGTATTCTGTTGATTCTGTAATAAAATCTTGCTTTTGATGGACAGAAGATGAGTAGCTCAGATGAAGAATCAGGCTTAAGTGAGTCTGAGATCAATGAAATATGTATTGATTGAAGTTACTATAGAAAATCATTTAAACTATAGCGAATCATTTCAACCAATAAAATATGTATTGGTTGAAGTTACTATAGAGAATCATTTTAATTATTTTTACAAATAAAATTTTCTTCATTTTAATAATATATTTTGACCAATAAAATTCACAGAATCATTTCAACTAAAAAATTTACGTAGTGAATTTATGTGGAATCCACTAACTAAAGTAAGAGTAGTTTAGTATTTTATAAAAGATAAACTTACCAAATATGAAAGCGTAGAGAAATTTTAAATACAGCCCAAAAAGGAAAGTACAAAAAACTTTTAAATACGGAGCGAGTATGTGCCATGTATCTTTAATGTTAGTACACGTGTAAACATTTTGAAATAAGTGAGATGCTCTAAAATATTATGCTGCATTATATTTTTTTAAATTGGTTTTCACTTTTTAGAATCGTATTTTAAACATAAAATAATCAGTATTTTCAGTATTCTAAACTGAAAAATCCGTATGTACTCAGCATTTCAATCTGTTTTATATAAATAAATATCACAATTTATCAGAAAAAAAGAGTTCCCAAAACAATTCAAAATCCATATAAAAAATGTGTCAACCAAGCTGTCTTTCTGGAAATTACTTCGACATATAACTTTCAAAATTATACAGTATATTTTTTTCAAGATTAAAGACCAAAATTTTGAAAAAATACTTTCAAAATTTTTGTGTCGGTTGTCTTTGTCAATAATTATTTATGTATTTTTATAGCTGGTAGAAAAACGGGATGAAAAACTTAAACGAAGGATAAATTTACTCTAAAGCTTTCTTCACTTATTTTATATTATATTGAATAAACAGATAATATTATAAAAAAGTTGAAGCTAAAACCAAATTGTGTTTCTGTTTCGGTAAACATGTGTTCGTACTTCGTAGTAATAACCATTTCATTAAAAATAATCACCAAAAAACGAAAGTGAAGAGTTTTGTTCAACCATGATAACACACATGCCAGATCCGTTGGTTTTGAATGATGTGGTTCATATGAAATTCATTAACGTTGTTTAATCAAAACAAAACATAAGATCGACAATGTGTTTTTGTGTAGTGGAAGGATTTGAGATCTTACCAAAGCCGTGTAAATCACAACTTCGACTGAGGGCAGGGCATTTTGAATTCGGTCGTTTGCAGGTGGAGGCTGCAATTTTAGCTTCAACGTTGGTTGATAAGGCGTGACCAGCACTTCCTTTAGCCCGCGTTTGGATGAAGGGCGGTTGAGCTTCGTGGAGTAGTAGGAGAGAATTGAAGGTTTGAACGTTGTTGTAGGTCGGAGAATAGAGCACCTTAATCAGACCCCAGACCCCAAAGCTTACAAATTTACAACTTCTAAAGCATAGTATACTGCTTGAAAAATATAATTAATCTTTAGGAATTACACCTGCAATATAAAAGGTAATAACATGTTATATATATATATATAATTATATCATGTATAATGCAATTATTTTGATTTCTGCAGGTTGCTTTGGTTTTATTTAGTTTATTTCATTTACACAATTGGGGTACATATTAACCCACTACAGTGTGAAATCCCATGACCTTTTTCAAATAAAGCCTAACTGGAAAATGAAAAGTTATAATGATAGTTATTTGAGTATGAGGATACAATTGAAAAAAGTTTATAACCATTGTAAGAAAACAATTAAATGTCACAACAATCAAGTGCCACAGACTCATTAAAATCATAGTTCATCAATAATAAGAGTACAGTATATAATTTTAAAAAGGTAATAAACACCATTGTAAAATAAATCATTTATGTAATGATTGATACCGTATTAAATTTATATTCAAAAATAGGATATCTAGAGTGTGTAAATGTATTATACATAATATGCAATTATATATACTTTGTACTACGTATACATAGTACTACTTACTATGCATGTGTGTGTCTATGTAAAACAGGTCACAATCAAAAAACCCAGTGATTTAAGCCAAAAAGTGCTGCTCTTAGAATTGTGAATCGAGTATATATGTGTCATATTTTGAGTATCCATATTAATAAAAAGAGATAAACACATAAAATTACGATATGTCAACAGATCTAAGCTAAAAAAAAGATGGTTCCTGAATATTGGCCGAAAATGGTCACCTTATATATAGAAAGATTTGCCTGTGATTTTGTAAAAAAACTTATTTACATCAAATCAACAGATTTAAGTACACAAAAAAATTATTTCGCCAACATCGTAATTATGAAAGACGAAGTAACTAACAAATAGGTTTCATATCCAACATCGGAAACAGTAGGGGTAAATGAAAATGAAAATGAAAATGATCCAATGAAAAAACATACTTTTTTGAAAACAACTACATCATATAAGTATAAATTCAAAAAAAATCAAACAGATAACCCAAAAGAGACATCGTTGTATACCAATCACCAACAAGTATCGGATTAACCGATGAGGCGATGACTCTACTTTTTGGATGCAAACCACGTTGGACCAGGACAGGAGGAGATCATCAGATTCACCGTTACCTCTGGTGTGGATATACGGATGGTGTACGAAGTTAGGATGCGGAAGATTGGTGATCGGCGGAGTGAAGGCAGATGAAGAGAGGCGGAGTTAGGGTAGAAGAAGAGGGGCGAATTGCATGTGGATGAAAGTCATGAAATAGTGGGCTGTGGGTTGGGCTTTGAATTGCAATGGCCTCCAGGCTGCAATAATAATTTGTGTGTATTTTACAAGTTTTAAAATGATCCCATTTTTTTGAAAATTTTATCAATTAACATCCTTTTTATAATCTTTAAATTAATAAATTATGTATTATATACTCCTGTCCAGCAGGTTTTGGTCCGAATGCCATCCGAACACCACCGTTCGGGGAGGTTCCCGGTGGAATATTTCGATGAATTTTTTATGGTATGTTCTTCATCACGTCTAGTTTATCCACACAAAAATTCAGCTCAAATATCGATCGGGAAGGCCGTCAAATAATTTTTGGAACTTAACTGCGCAAAATTATACATAGAAAAACGCAGTCAACTTCCAAAAATTATTTGACGGCCTTCCCGGTCGAATTTTGAGCTGAATTTTTTTGTGGATAAACTAGACTTGATGAAGAACATACTATAAAAATTTCATAAAACAATTCCACCGGGAACCGCTCCTAACGGCGGTGTTCGGACGGCGCCTCAGGTCTGAACGTTCGGACCTGAGAATTTTCCTGGATTATATTATATTTAAATAATTTCATTAAGAAAACTATTTATTAATAGTTACATTCATGGACATAATCAAAATGTTGAAAAGAATCAGTGGCTGGTAAAATAAATGGGACTTTTTACTAAAATACTTTTATAATTTCAATGTTTATAAGTATTTAAATAAATATCCTTTTTACTATTTCAATGTAAATTAATAAAATAATTGCATTTATATTAAAAGAAATACATGTATTGTATGTATATTATATACAAAAAATGTATATAAAATCCTATTTATATGTAATTACATTTTTTACAAAAAATGTTGATCAAAATTTTCATAAAATTATGTGGCCTCATCACAACAGGTCATCTTGCATTTTCACCGACAAAATAAATGGCACTGCTTACTTTGAAGTATTAATTTGCGTTGAAGATGTGAAACAAATTAAACATACTACCAATGTTATTTACAAAGAAATGTTTTGAAATGTGTAGGTTATGAAACCTTATTCGTCTATCTTTTATGTCCTGAATTGATAAAATTCCTTATTTATTGTTTCTTATTCTCATTTCCATCATTTGCAATGGAGCCAAAGATTCATTATTTTTTGGCTTGAGATTATGATGGAATAAAGCAAAATGACTCACTAAACTGTCTGCGCTTCTTTGTTATGAAGCAACAATCAGTCCATGCAATTTTGGACGCGATTTTCACTATGGGTCATTCGGAAACGGTCTCTCTGTGCTTTAGTACAGAGGTAAGACTGCGTAAATCCGACCCTTCCTTACTCCCACCGTAGGTGGGAGCCTTTGCGGCACTGGGGTAAATGAAAAATGAAAATGAAAAATGATTGTTTCTTATTCTCAAAAATAAATTGTGCCAACTACATAAGTATTTTCTCCTTAATTGTAAATATTTGTGTCTATTGCATCTAAACTCTTTGCATTCATTTACAGTCTAATTAATGATGTTAACCGATAATAGGATATATGTCCCGAGTAAAAAATTTAGGCGAAAAATATGTCGACCATGAAGATGTCATTCCAAGGTTAAGCTTAATTTCTTCGAATTCAAGAATACCGTTCAAGTTTCTTTCGAGTCATAACCTCTTACGCGATGACTATGAATAAGAGTCAAAGCCATTTTTTGTCACATGTAGGGCTCTTATTAAAAAAGCCAATGTTCATGCATTGTGAATTGTATGTTGCAGTATCAAGAGTAACAAATCTAAGGGTTTGAAAATGTTGATTTGCGGTGAAGATGATGAGCCAATTGCCTTTTCTATCTATATTGTTTATAAAGAAGTTTTTCAGAATGTATAGATTGTAGAAATCTTATATAACATTTATTTATTTCTAATTATTCCAAAGCATACTTACTACCGATCTATGAGTTCTCATTATCATTACTTCAATAATAATTTATTATGCATATATATAACGTCTTTATTAATTTGCATTCATTCACACACGAACAAGTAATATTTACAAATTATACCATATTGTTATCACATTTTATATCTCGTGCATCGCACGGGTGAGAATCTAGTAATCAACAAAAAAACGAAAGTGAAGAGTTCTGTTCAACCATGATAACACACATGCCAGATCCGTTGGTTTTGAATGTTGTGGTTCACATGAAATTCGTTTACGTTGTTTGATCAAAACAAAATATAAGATCGACAATGTGTTTTTTTTTTGCATTGGAAGGATTTGAGATCTTACCGTGGAGGCTGGAATTTTAGCTTCAACGTTGGTTGATAAGGCGTGACCAACACTTCCTTTAGCCCGCGTTTGGATGAAGGACGGTTGAGCTTCATGGAGTAGTAGGAGAGACTTGAAGGTTCGAACGTTGTTGTCTGTCGGCAAAGAAAGTAGGTGGAGTGTTTGAAGGGTGTCATTTTCACAGGCATCTTATATGGGGCTCTGTATCGGGCTTACACTTCTACGAATGGTTGGGCTGAACTCGGACGGGCCATTAAAATGGTTTTGGGTTGGTTTTTCATTGAAGAATTCCTGAACAAAAAAACTTTGAGTTGGTTTCTTGGGTTCTAATGATGGGTTGCGAACCCCGAGTCTCCTATGATGGGTTTGGCTATGCTGGCTCTGATGGTGATTGAGATGAAAGTTGTACCATATGTGTTTGATCCAGGTGGAACGCTGGCGGTAGGGACCCTGGGTAAAGGAGGTGAATTGGATTTCAATCGGCTGTTGGGGGGTCGGCGGGGTTGTTCTGGCCACCTCAGGCGGTGGAGGAAGAAGATGGGATGTGGATGATTCGTCCCCCTCCTGAACCGCCACCACAAAGGAATTACACGACTAAGGGTCGAACGATGGCGACTCAGCTGCTTTTTATTTATTTTTGCTATGCCCTATTTGTTAATCTTTATTTTGGATTTATTAGGGCAAATAATAAGGGTGGTAGGTTCTTATTTTGGTTTACTTTAGTTGATAGATTTTTGGTTAGAGGCAATCAGACTGATTCGGCCGCTAATAGCCTCAAAGCTCTCACATTTTCAGAGATTAGTTTTGCTCCTGTTGGAGTGGACTATTCTATGCCTGATGAAGAAGTGAGGGGGCGACGGGCTTCTGGTTATGTTTGTTTAGAGGGAGATTAGTATCGGGGGATTACATTTATTTTTTGTAACTTCTCTCAAATGTACTGCGAGTTTTTGATTTAATATAATACTAGTTTTGCAACGCGCGATGCGCATTCGTGTAAATGCCCAAGGACATTGTAGACATTACTTCTTCGGGTTAGGTTGAGTGAATGCACGGGTTATTTAATGGATTGTGTGACATGATGCCCTAAAACAAAGACAGTTGCAAAACATAAGAACATCTTTAATGGCAATATGGATTGACTAAAAATGCATTGCCACATCATATTATGGTAAAATTATCCTCTCCGGTGGAAATGTGTATTTGACACTCGATGATGAGTTGGAATAGAAAAAAAGAATGACCGTCTACTTGCCTTTCTACTTCAGCAAAGCTAATTAATAGCCAAATCATTTAAGGAGTATTTTATTATAGGGAATACTTTTGAAAGAATGGCTAAAATATTAGCATAGGACTTTCAAGGGACGAAAAGATCACTAATTTTGGATTCGACAAAAAAGTGATTATATTGGTAATTGGACCCAACCTTTCCCTTCAACATCCATAGTCGTCTCTTCATCTTTCCATTCCTGCGGCCTGCACCAGTGTTCACGCAACTGGCATCCCCAAACACGCGCCTTCAACTTCATCGTCGCCTCTGCTGCTTCCTTCCTCCGCCGCATAGTCTAGTCCCCGCCGTCCTCGTTAGCAATCCTTTAATTTTCTTCTTCTCCATTCTTCTGTTCACAAACATCCGCCACACTCCTGAAATTACAGCTCAACCAAAGAAAAAGATCTAGATTTGGACTTCCTAGGATTCAAGATTGGGGACCGGCGGCGAGCAAAAATGATTGTTTAGGCCAAGGAAGGGTGGGGAAAGTGAGGCGGAATTATTCAGGACTCATGAGAGTGTCGATGTTGGGGCCATGTGTGATGATGTTGGGGGAAACGGCTTCACCGTCGTTGGTGGCAGGCTTGGGCAAGTTGAGACGGGAAAGGGATCTGGATCCGGTGATGGAGGACGGGGGGCAACGTGGCCGGAAGGGAGGCGAGATGGAGAGGGAATTGGGGCTTAGTAGAGGTTGGGGTTGGGGATGGGCTGGGAAGGGGCGCTCAGGGGGGAAGCGGTCGAGCTACAGTGACACCACCACCGGTGAGGGGCTATGAGGGGGACAGGTGTTGTGTCATTGGAAAAAGTTGCCATAAAATGTCACAGAAAAACAATGCCAGTGACAATTTGATCTCGGTGGTGACATCTTTCAGTTACATAAAATTTGATCGCGACAACTGATAGTGGCACGAAAATATTATAGTGACATGAAAATATATGTAGTGACATTTTTTCAAATATATCACCATATTAGTCACATTTTTGTCAATATGAGAAAGTAGTCACATTTTTGGAAACTCACTTGATTTTAATAATATTAAGGGGAAAACCCCAATATTTTTGCTGGAAACATTTATCATAAGCAACGTCCATAGCATCTCCAGTTCTCCAAAACTTGAAGCTTCAAGGTATTCTTTTAATTTTAAAAGAATCACTTGAGAGTCTACAGCATCCTATTACACCCAATTAACTTCAATTAGATATAAAAGTGCAACAAATACGTTTATAATCTGGTATATACATATGAGAGACTATAGAGTCATATTTCGAGAGGTTGGAGGTGAAATATTAACTTGTGGTTCGTTTGCGGTAAGAAAAAATTACAGATCTACTTACATATTATCTCTTGCAAGAAGAAAGGTAGAAGAAGAGATATTAAATACGGAGTAGTAACCAGCCGCTGGTTTTTAGTTATAAATGAATGATTGCACATTTGCATTGGAGAGAAAATGTTATTTCAATTGTCCGTCTCTACACGTCACCTCCATATTTAATGAGTCACAATCCACACTCCCATTAAAGATGCTCTAAGCATACCCACATCTCATATCGT